TAAAATAATTCGGATTATATTAAATTCATGAATATATTAGTCCAAATAATATTATGGATTAATATAATTGAGTCAATTATTTAAATCTAATAAATATGGATTTAATTAAACCCGCTCCATAAAGCCTATATGCCATGTCACTTAAATCTGATTGGCCGAAGAAAATTCTATTTCAATCACAACTCCCCTATTCTAAAACTATAAATAGTGGTCTTCAGAATTCAGAAAGGAGGACTAAGAATTTTAACAAGAAGCTAGAGAAAGCTCGTGGATCAAAAGCTGCAGATTTCTCTACAAGTTCAAGAATTCAAGCATTCAAGCATTCAAGTTTCAAGAACGTTCAAGTCTCAAGAACGATCAAGATCAAGAACGATAAAGATCAAGAACGATCAAGATCCAAACCGCCGGATTCAAGATCAAGCTCGAAGCCCTTGGATTCAACTAGAAGTCAAGATCAAGATAAAGTTCAAGTTCAAGATCAAGATAAAGTTCAAAATCAAGTTCAAGATCAAGATCAAGATAGAGATCAAGACCGAGATAAATCTCAAGTTCAAGATCAAACTCAAGAGCCCTTGAATTATATTTGAAAAGGCGAATTCAAAGGAATAATAGAGATTGTAACACTCGCACTTAAATCAATAAAACGATTGTTGCATAATTTTCCGTTCTTGATTATTGTTTTCTTGACGCGAATTTTATTGTCCATAATGACAACTAAAAGTGGACGAAGAAAGTAGTGTCCTAGTTGCAATACTAAAATTTTTATCAAAAAAATAGAATTTTGATTTACTGCTAATTTTAATAATTATTTAAACTATCACTATATTAGACTTCAAATTATTGCTATCGATGAAGAGAGGAGGTTTTCAGTTTCCCATTTCTTGAAATTATTTTATTCTATTTCATAAACAAACAACTTACAAGAGACGATAGGAGGTAGGTGTAGTGACTAATTAGATTTCAGGGGTTGGTACAACAACCTCTAGAGTATTATTTTTAGGGATAAATGTCTGAAAAATATCTTAACTTTGATCGGATTTGCTGTTACGATACTAAACTTTCATGAGGATTTTATTACCTCCCTAGAATATTTAATACCGTATTTTAAACATATATATTTGCCCACGTGGACATAAAAAATAATGCAAAATTATAAATAGTAATGTGTCCACGTGGGCACATATATACCTTTAAAATACACTATTAAATAGTTCAGGGAGTAACACATACGGTATTAAATAGTCTAGAGAGGTAATAGGTCCTTATGAAAGTTTAGTATCGCAACAGCAAATTCGATCAAAGTTAAAATATTTTTCAGATCTTTATCCCTTATTTCACTACTAATATATAAGTGTCAATAAGCACACAACTGAAGGTCAACATGTGTGCTTCAGCTGTGTGCTTATTTATCATCAGCCGAAAAGTCCTTGATTTTCAATGCATGTGGGCCCGTTTTCCTCTCTATTTCACACCTTTTCAATTTGCCATGCATTTATTTCAATCCCTTTTAATGGATATGGACCCTCCCTCACCAATTCCATTCCCTTCTCATTATTTCTGCCTCACAACTTCTTACTTCACTTTCATTTTGTGGTAAATTAATATTTGAAAATGTCAATTATACAATTTATAATTTATTCTTCTTACTTCTTTTTTAAATTTATAGTGTATTCAAAGATTACGTTTAAGATACGATAAATTATTAGAGTTAATATTTAAAATATTTTATTACAAATTTAAAAATTACGTGATATACACTATTAATTACAATAATTAATAATTTAAAATATTTTTACTATCTAATAAGAGCCTACAAACACACTATACGTTATATGTTCAAAAAATTCTATAAATCACAATAATTAACAACTTAAAAAATTCTGTTATATATTTAAAATGACGTTAAAAGTACTATAAATCATAATTAAAATATATTTTTTTTAGAAAGTTCTTTGTTGACTCTTGAAATTCTATCGATGACACATGAATTTGAATAGATGGAACAATATATATTATTGAAAGTTAACGATACTATAAATTATTTGAAAATGACGTTAATGTTTTTTATAAATTATAACAAATTAGCAACTAAAATATTTTTGAAAAACGTGTCATAATCTTATCCGCCGATTAAATATCGGATCGACGGATAAGATTGTGTCACGTGAAGGGCATATATACTCTAGTTTTTAGACGGCAAGGGCATCAATGTCCCAATAGTATGACGGAGGGTATCTGCATGCCATTTACGATAGTTCGAGGGTATATTTATCCTTTTTTCCTTTGATAAATTTTACTAAATTATAGTAGTGGAAAACATACGTTAAGAACAATTAATCCAAATGAAAGTATTGTAAATTCACAAAGGAATCAAAAATAAGTTAGTGACAACCTGCGAGGTGATTCCACGATTGAACTTTAAGGATGAATATGCAAACATGGTGTGCTTAAGTGTGCAAAAATTCAACACGATAAATCGAATCTAAAAAAATGTTATTTGTTTATTACTATTGAATTAACGGATTTTTAATGGTTTTATAAAAAATATTATCGGATTATCGATTCGATTTTGATTTTTTAATATTGGGTATTGGATAAACCAATAATCCATTAAGACGGTAGCTGATTTACTACTTTACCCCTAGATAAATAGTAAATATTAATCTCAGTACCTTACTAAGTACTGTCTTTGTTCACAACTACACATGAGTTGCACATGTATAAGACAATTGTCCCTTAGTTACGTTTAGTAGTTAGTTAGTTAACTAATTAAGGGTAATTAGTGGTAGTTATAGATTAGCCGCTTAGTCTATAAATATAGTTGTACAAATATAGTTACATCAGAAGGTATTTTCTCTATTTCTCTTCGTCTCCATACGTCTAGGAATGGCGATTCCAAGCATCTAGGGGAGGATGCAGGGAGAACTCTCAAGTTGAAGATCGGCGAATCTTAGGTTGAAGTCGGCGTAGCTTTTCTAAGTGATTCGATTTTATTTTTTTGCGTCTTCGTTGTTGTCATTTCTTTGATTAGGGAAGTTGAGGAGCAACAATAGTGGAAATCAAAATTGACTAGCAGCATCCCTTGTTCATGCGACCATCGGATGGGCCTAGATCCATATTAGCTCCAATTCAGCTAAAAGGATCTAAAAACTATTGATTATAGCATAGATCGATGTGCATCACACTACAGTTGAAGAGAAAAATAGGATTGGTGGTACTAGGAACATGCAAGAAGAGCCCGTTCGAGAAAGAATTGCAGGAGCAATTGAAAACTTGCAACACTTATCCTATCATGGACCGTCATTAATACTGTAGCTCCACCTCTTTTCAGTGGAATTGTTTATGCTACAGATGCCTACACAATTTTTTGAAGACTTGCAGGAAAGGTTTGACAAGATTAATTGAGTAAGGATTTTTCAATTACACAGGAAATTAAATTGCTATAATTTCACAGAGGACCGACACTTTCTATACTTCACCAAATTAAAGAAACTTCGGGTTGAATATGATCTGATTGTACTTTTTCCTAACTGTGGTTGTGCTAGATATAAGGAGTACATTGAACACTTGCAACAACAAAAACGGTTGCAATTTTTGAGTGGATTGAATGATATTTATGCACAGTCTAAGTAACAAATCCTTATGAAATTGACTAAGCCTAGTCTGAATCAATGTTATGCCATGATTATGGAAGAAGAGAGTCATAAATATGTCAATAATTCGGGAAAACATGCTATAGGAGAAGGTATTAACATTGCTGCTTTTTGGAGTGCCCGGGCACCAAATTCTTTTAGCAATGGAAAAAGTGCAGGTCAGTTTTAAGGTACACCACCTAATCGTGGTTATCAGAAGCGTAAGAGGATTTGGAATGAACAATGCGACCAGTGCAAGATGCATGGCCACACAATGTTAGATTGTTATCAAATCATAGGCTATTCAGAGAATTTTAAGAAGAAGAGGAAGCCTCTGGATAATCATACATTATATGCAACACTAGGACGACATCAATTTCCCCCCTTAGGGTACTCAAGCTGGATATTCGCCTCTATACATGGATACTAGTCACCCAGCTCTTATTATGGTTATTCAAGCATTAGAGATAACACATCAACAGATGAAACTGTACATGGTGTAAATCACTTTGTTGTTGGACATTTTCTTGGTGTTGAACCTTATAGTAGGACCATTTAGGTGTTGATAAAGGGAAGGACTATAGGTGAGGATTGATGAGAACATTAATGTATCTTTATTTCCTCATCAATATGCACATGTTCAGAAAATGTTCCACAAGGGCACTACCTTTGCACCATCAGCAAATATGGCAGGTAATCGTTCTACTTTACTAGATAACAAGGATATATGTAATTGAATAGTAGATATTGGGGCTACTCATCACATGTTATCAGATTTTAGTGAATGTACGTAAGGGAATTCGTGATGTGCATTTGTCTGATGGAAGCAAACTTCCTATTCTAAATGTTGGTAATTGTAGGGTAGGCCAAGGGAAGATCCAGAATGTGTTATATGTTTCAAGTTTCAAAATGGATTTACTTTCAGTAGCCAAGTTGACAAGAGAATTGAATTGTGTTATGAAATTCTATCCTGATTTTTGCCTGCTATATGACCTTCACATTGGCCAGGTGAAAGAAATTGGTAAAATGATAGATGATATGTATCACTTGAAGTCCAGAGGAAGTATTCAGCACTCATTAGCAACCTACATTGCATCCATAAATAATGACATCTGGCATAAGAGATCGGGTCATGTTCCACTCAAAATGGTTATAAGCTTTTTTATTTGGCTAACAAATTGTTTTTTTTTGCTAGTAGAGATATGTAGTTTGTGAAAAAATATTTTTTCTTTCCAATCTAGCTCTTCTCCAGAGATAGATCATTATCAGCAAATGCACAAAATATAAATAAATGTGTTGTGGATGTATATCTTTTTATGGTGATTAGGGATAAGTCTATAGAAGTGCGTATGTCTTTGTCTATGCCTCATCCACTAGTGGATTCTGCTGCACAAGAAACATTGACCATTGTCATGGAACATGTGGTGGAAACTTCTCCTTCTGCTGAACCTAGAAGAAGATCCAGTAGAGTTGTTAAGCCTCCTACTTTGTTGCATGATTTTGTCTATAAGCCTGTCAAATAGCCCACCTCTTTTTCGGATCCTATGTCAAACTATCTGTCATACGATGGCACGTCTTATTCCTATCTCTAAATTTTATGTAATCGTTCTACTATTACAAACTCTGAATCTTATGAAGAGTGTAGCCATGAACCAGGGACTACAAGCACTTGCTGACAACAAGACCTGGTCCTTGACACATTTGCCTACTGAAAAGAGAGAAATTGGGTGTAAATGGGTCTCTAAATCCAAATACAACGATCAGGGTCAACTTGATAGGTATAAGGCTCGATTAGTGGCCAAAGGTTACACTCACCAGAGGAGTTAGACTATCAAGGTTCATTAGCTTCCACTATTTCAAAAGTTTGTTGAGCTTCTTGTGAAGATGGTTACAATTAGGGTTGTACTTACTTTAGCTGCTAAGTAAGGCTGGAAATTACATCTTATGGATGTTTTCAATGCCTTCTTACCAGGGGACCTATTGTAAGAGGTATAAATAGTTCCTTCTTCTAGCTTTTTGAAATAGGGGGAGTCCTCTCTTGTGTGCAAGCTAGCCAAATCTCTATATGGCCTCAAATAAGCCCCAAGTCAATGGAACTTGAAGCTCACTGGGGCCCTTAGCTTATTGTATCTAGTTTCCAACATAGCCATCATGATTATTCTCTCTTTACCAAGACTTCTGGCACATACATAGTTTTGATTCTAGCTTATGTTGATGATCTGATCATCATTAGATCATGTTTCTCACTCATTGAAGAAGCCAACCATTTATTACATAATCATTTCAAAATCAAGGATCTGGGGGAGCTAAGATATTTCCTTTGTCTTGATGAAACTTTTAGAAGTCATCACAACATTTTTGTGTGCCAAAGGAAGTTCACCCTGCACTTGATTGCAGACATGAGTTTAGCTGGATCTAAACCTACTAGTACACCTTTGGAAGCAAATCAAAACTTATTAGTGTAGAGTTTGACCAAGATTGTGAAGGGCATGCAGATGATGAACTGCTCACATATCCTAGAAGCTATCAAAAGCTAGTAGGAAAGTTGTTGTATCTAACAATGACTAGAACAAATATATGTTTTACCATCCACAACCTGAGCCAATTCATGCATTGTCCCAAGAAGTCTTACATGGAAACAACTTTTATAGTGGTAAGGTACTCGAAAATTTCTCCATGACTTGGAATTCCATTGCTATCAGAAAATTCTACATGACTTTCAGTGTACTGTGATGCTGACCGAAGATCTTTTCCCATGAGCAGGAGATTAGTCAATGGATTTATAGTGAAGTTGGGGAAATCCTTGATATCTTGAAAATCTAAGAAATAGAACACAGTCTCAAGAATCTCAGCAGAGGCTAAATATAAGAGTATAGCCAATGCAGTTGCTGAGATAGTATGGACAATGGGAATATTTGAAGAACTATGTTTCAAATTGTAACTTCCAGTGAGATTGCATCATAGAGATCAATTGTCACTTTATTAGAAAAACATACAAGAAGGTTTAATACACACTGAACACATCAATACTACACTACAACTTGCTGATATTCTAACAAAGAGTTTGAGAAAGACATAACATGACTTTCTGTTGGACAAACTGGGAATGTTCAACTAGTTCTCACTACACAGTTTGAAGGGGAGTATTGAAAGGATTACATGCGCCTGCACATGTATAGGATAATTGTCCCTTAGTTATATTTAGTTGTTAGTTAGTTAACTAATTAATGGTAATTAGTGGTAGTTAGAGGTAATTATAGATTAGTTGCTTAGTCTATAAATATAGTTGTACAGATATTGTTACATTCAATCAATACAAAAGATATTTTCTTCGTTTCTCTTAGTCTCAATAAATACAAATATTAAAACCTAAAGAAAAAAATCACATTCCTCTTAATTCCTCTTTATGTTGCGCTTGCATAGTATTTTTCATGTTAGTTATTATTGTATTTATTTTATGTGCGCTCTATAAAGTTATATTATTGCCTTGTCTTGTCAATTATTGGAGAAGTCATATATTTGTTTTATAAGCATTTTCTTATTAGTTAACCGAACTATTAAAGACCAAAAACAATAAACCGGAAATCGATACAAATATATCTTATTGGTTTGATCATTGGCTTAGTGTATTTAGAAACTGAAAACTAGTAAATCGAACCAATACTCCCTCCGTCCAACAATAGTTGTCCACCATACTATTTTGGTAAGTCAAACAATACTTGTCCACTTTATGAAATCAATAGATATTTTTACACTTAGTTCCTAATTTACCTTTATCATTAATTATAGTCATTTCTCTATTATATTTTTCAAGACATTATAATTATTATATTCAAAAGGGTGATATAGTAAAATTACACTTCTATTTATAGGTTCTAAGAAGTGTACAAAATCAATAGTGTACAAATATTGTTGGACAGAGGGAGTATTATATAAAACCACACTAAATCGACCGATGCACACCCAACTTCAAGGACTAGGATCATTATGTGTTGCCACGTCACATTCCCTTTAAATCATCACATTTAGGGGTGTGCATCAGTCAGTCTAGTTCAGTTTTATGTATTATCGATTCGATTTATTGATTTTTAAATACGCTAAACCAATAACAAATCAATAAATTTTTTATCGGTTTTTGTTCATTAACGGTTCGATTTTCCCAATAAGAAAATGCTCATAAAATAAATATATGATTTCTCACTTCTCTAACAATCATACAGTGTGACAAACAAATCAATCGTAAATTTTTTGATATAGTGAAACAAGAAATATAATGAGAAATTACATAAATAAATGTAGATGTAGTTTTAAGGCTAGAATTTCATGTTACAACCAAAACATAATATGAAATTTCTGATGTGAAGTAGAAGTACTGTGATGTGTTAAAGTGTGTAGACCGTAGTGTAGAGTACTCATATAGTGTCTAGTTATGTTAAATTATTAATATTTAATATTTATAAAAGATATAGTAGTAAATTACTATCGTCTTAATGGATTATCGGTTATCCAATAACTCAATACTATAAACTTATACCAAAATCGATAACCCAATAATTTTTTTTTAATAAAACCATTAAAAATCCATTAACCCAATAGCAATAACCTAATAATATTTTTTCATTTAATTTATTAGTCGGTTCGATTTTTACACACCCCTACTGTTAATTTTTTTTTTTTACTAGAGGCCAGAAAAAGCATCTTGCAGGTGATTCGAATATTCACCCGCTCAATATCACTTTAACATTATTGTCCTACTCGACAACATTACAACAAAGTCAAACAAGTTGTTGGAAAATCAATCTAATTAACACATATTTTCAGAAAAACAACTTAAGGTTGAAAAAAAAAAAGAACGAACGAGAATTTTATTGCATTAGGGTTTCTCAAGAATGGGGCTTTGATAGAGAGTATCCTGCAATTACTTTGACGGATAATTCGAGCTTCTAAAGGGAATGGTAGAATGTACTACATAAGATCTAATACCTGAAAACAGATAATCGTGGATTTAAATCGAGTAAGGAGTAAGAGAGTTGAGAGAGACGATCGATAGCGGGAATATTGAAGCTCAAGATAGAAACTGTATTTACTTCAAATATATTTTAATAAATTTTAAAACTAAACCTTTAATTTCTTAAAATTATAAAAGGGTCCTTCAGCACATTTAACAATTTCAGGCGCAAAAAATAAAGAGAAAAGAAACTGAGGTCTAGTCCTTTAAATCGTGAGTTTGAGACTTAAACGAGTGTTCGAGCCAGCTACTTTCTCGTGGTTATAAATTAAATAGTTGGGTCAAATAAGACAATCAAAAATATAAAAGAAAAGCGCATGATATGTTTGAAATTCCCTTGCTCAGGCCTGCTTGTTTGGCCAAATGATATGAAATCATAATATGAAATTATGAGACGAAATTAAAGTTTTGTCTAGGCATGCAATCTGGAATTTTTGTGTTGTATATTTTGTCATAAACATAAGAATATCATAAGTTAAAACTATCAAAATAGTCCAAATTATTTATTCAATTTCACCAAATAAATAAAATTTTATAAAATCGCATAATAAATTATTACAAAGCATTGTGGTCAGTCTTTTTTACTCAATATAGATGAAAAACTTTTTTTATTTAACGTGAAGTAGGCGTTTGGCCATGAGATACCATATCACGATATGAAATCTGCATTTGGACATGCGATTTCACGCTGATTCCATCTCATGATTTCATATCATGAGATGGAATACAATATTCTCCAAAAATCATGATTTGGGAATTCCATATCATGATTCGAGATTTTTTAAATACAAAAATTGACCACAAGTTTATATTTTGTTAAAACAACCCACATGGTATCTACTGACCATTTATTTCATATGTAAATAAAATTAATAATCATGTCATTACATTTTAAAATTTATTTTTCTCACCAACATAAAATATATCATTGCTTTCAATTCGGTGAATATAAATGATAAAGTAGGAATTGATTTGGTAAATATAAATACAAACGGAGGGAGTAATATATTTTTGATTTTTCATAATAAAAAAAAACTTCTCTTTTGCCTACATATAAAAATGTTTAAAGCAAATTAATATGAAAAAGGACAAAATTGGTGATGTATGTTTGATAATCATTACTTTCAATATGTTTGATTTTAGCACGAAATTAATGCACTGAAAAATGTGCAATTGCACACAAGTGAAACAAGGCATGAACCATATGATATTGACAAACAAGTGAAAATTGTCATAACCTTTACCGTGTTACATAGTTATTTGCGATAATAACAAAGGAGTGCTGAAATAACTGTATAT